TATATTCATGTTCGCAGACCGTAAAAACAATCAAATTCAAAAGAAGTAAATGATGCAGCACACAAATATATGAATATGAGCTCCTCCTGGTACACACCAGACAATGTTCATTGATAAAATCACAAAATACTTGACACGGTATATCTATTCTGTGATAAAATATTCTTTTGCGCCATGCCACCTGACATGGCGGGTGACATGCAAGTAAAGAATAGAGAAATTGAAAAAATCAGTCCAGTCCAACTGTCCAGTCCAGTCCAACTGTCCAGTCCAGTCCAGTCCAACTGTGTCCAGTCCAACTGTCCAGTCCAGTCCAGTCCAGTCCAGTCCATGTTTTGTACTATGCCAGGAAAGGGAGGGAATTTCGGTATAGAATGATCTGTCTTTGACAACTGGCGCCCAGAAACTCGCGCCTCATATGCACATGTACAGTAATTTTATTAGCCAAATGGTTAATACGAATGACGAATTCTTTCATTTGGGTAAACAAATTATCACGGGGAGAAATTGTTACATTTGAGTAAAATACCCAAATGTAACAATTTATCCCCGTAATAATGGCGCTACGTTGACTTGTATTATTAAAAAGGGAATATTAGCTGAGCGATTAGTAATTTTATAAACGAAATGGTGACGTAGCGCCATTATTACGGGGATAAATTGTTACATTTGGGTATTTTACTCAAATGTAACAATTTCTCCCCGTGATAATTTGTTTACACAAATGAAACCATTCGTGATTCATAACCATTCATTTGGTTAATAAAATTACTGTACATGTGCGTATGAGGCCTGAGTCTCTGGGCGCAAGTTGTCAAAGACAGATCATTCTATACAGAAATTCCTTCCCTCTCCTCTCTTTTTCTTTAGTTATTACGTGCTGTCATTTTCGATCATTTTCTTAATAGATTAGTTTTGTTCAAGGTGATGGGAGAAGGTTGTGCCTTTTTTGTTACAGTAAAACTGTTAATTTGTCTTTTTTTGCACATTCAAACAAAAGGAACGAGTTAGGATTCTATCTACTTTATAATTAAAATATTGTTTTGTAGTTTTGTTGTGGTCATAAACGATCCACTAAAAGTAATTACCTGTTGAGTGTTGTTAAATTTAATATTAATTTAAATATGAAAAATCTAAAATATTGTTAACGATAATAGTTGTGATTGTTTTAGATAATCGTATTACATTAGCGATATACAAGTTCTTTTTGGGAAAATTTCTGTGCTTTGTCTTTGGCTTTTTTGTATTGAAAATTTGACAATTTAATATTGCACTCACACATACTTCAAAAGTCGGGGCTTAACTCGAGCAACAACGTTTTTGTCAAACTTCGAGTTAAGCCCCGGGGCTTAACTCGAATGACCCAAATCGTGTTTCGTTCTTCGAGTTAAGCCCTTTTGGAAAAAGGGCGTGGTCATGACAAAACAGGGCGTGGTCGGGGCTTAACTCGAAAAGGGCTTAACTCGAGGGGCTTAACTCGAAGGGCTTAACTCGAAGATTCCCGACCTCTATTCTAGCATTTAAATTATTGCTTTCGATTAAATAAATAGCGCAATTTTGTATAAAACGTCACGGACTTCGCTATTAACGTTATAACGGCTATAACTTGAGAACAACGGTGGAATGCTAGCTAAAGATACATTATAATGAGGTGGTAAGGATTATTGGAAAAGAAATACCTATCATGAAGAGAAACAGGAAATTGATCAGTGAGAATACATATAGAGCGAGTGTTGCCACATATAAATACCTGGTTTAATACTGAGTATAGCAAGAGATTTCCGATTTCCTATCTGCTTGCCATTTGAGTCATAAATAGAACAAAAATAATGTCTGTCCAGAATCCTGCCAATCTAGGTCTAAAATCATCAAGATAGGTCCAAATACTTTAATCCTTGCACCAGGTGTTATCAACTCAGGTGTTATCAGCTTCTTCGTAGTTCTTGGTCGAATCATGAGGGCATGTGAAGTTGATGGATGAGTCAATTTCGTGAACTATAAAATCTGATAAAAAAGAATATAGAAATTATGTTAACTTAAGGCCCATTTACACGGGCAATTTTTGCTGCGATTTCAGTTGCGATGTTCTTTTGGAGGATGTGAAGGAGTAGATCAGTTATAAATGTTCCAGGTTATGAAGTCTGATAACAACATCATTAAGTAATCTACTCCTTCGCATCCTCCAAAAGGAGAAAATCGCAACTAAAATCGCCCGTTTAAACGGGCTTCTATAACGCGCACCCACCGACGTTTATAGCAGAGTTACATGACTGACGTAAATCTTTAAAATCTTTATTATACTTTCTATCATTATTTTTAGACAGTCAAGGCCAAAATTCATGTCGTCACTTAAGGTTACTTCACACGATGAACGTGCGTTTTAGTCTATTGGACATTGCGCAACGAATTTTAGGTATAACTTTACCAAATTTTCAGAAAAGAAAGCCAAGAAAATGCTGATTTCGAAAATGTTTATTTGATGGGTGTTCAGTTTAAACATTTTCAGTATTGGCTGACTGAATAAATATATATAGCTAGGTACCTTCATAAAAAATCAAAATATGTTTATAGTTTACCTCAACGTTTGTCTAGACATCGGCAATTCGAATCTTCATAGGCACGTAAAAAAACGTGTGCGGAAAATTTCTCTTCTTTAGTGGTTTTTCTGATATGCTCTGATTCTTGGATTTGTCACTAATAATTCACGAAGTTGTCAAAGAAAACGTCATATCAGAAAAACCATTCATTTTCCATTTTTCCGCACACGTTTTTTTTTACCGTACCCAGGGACGCCGGAACTGGGGGCAGGAGGGGCAGCCGCCCCCGTTGCCCTTTACCAGGAGGGGCAAGGAGGGCAAAGGTGCCCTTTTAATTTAAAGGATTGCTTTGGCGAAATAGCGAATTGTCAGAAATGTTAGTGCAATTCTTTTACGAATTTGCTTCAGAAAACGCAAGAAATGCAGTCATCGAGCTT